CTGAGGAGCAAGCCTGGCCGGCAAAACCAGCTGTGTCAGGGCAGGCAAGAGAGGAGCAGGAGCTGTGGCCTCTCCCGCAGGGTTGCAGGGCCAGGGCAGCCCTTGGCCCCTGTGAGCCAACAAAAGGCCCTGTGCGTTGGCCGGGAATCGAACCCGGGTCAACTGCTTGGAAGGCAGCTATGCTCACCACTATACCACCAACGCATCTGCTGGCACAGCCCTGCTGCTCCTGCAGCTCACACACTCCCTACCCCAGCCCCACACCCTCAGGCCTCCTCCTGCCATTCCCACACAAACACCACCACAAGCTGACACGCAGCACACGCCTTGCTGGCAGGAACACCTGCCTAGCAACTCTCCAGCTGCACTAGCCACCCTCCAGCACACAGCACCACCACACACTGACCACCCTTGCAGCACCACCCTGCACAAACCAGCACTCAGCTCCACGCACACTCTGCACACACCTCTGCTATGCACCACCACTCAAGGCAGATCATGCTGCCCATGGGGGGGACACACATCTCCCTCTCCAATAGACACCTCCAGTCCTCAGCACACACAGAGCAATCACACCAGCCCACTGTCTCCCTTCTTCCTGTCTCTTGCAGTGATGCTGCTGCTGCTGCTGCTGCTGCTGCTGCCGCCTTAGGACATGCTGGGAATGGCACCTCTCCCCATCCACCTTCACACATGTGCCAGCTGGGCTTGTACTGTGCAAGTGGAGGGGCATTTCTGTGTCTATACCTGTGGTGGGGGAAGCACAGACAAACACCCACCCAGCTGCTCTCTCCTCCTCTCACTTCAGTGATCGAGGGGCAGAGAAAAGAGCACCTCCATGTCAGAGTAAACACTGCAGGCAAGGCAAGGGTATGACTGGCTAGAAAGCAACTTTGCAGAAAAGACAGCTTTTGGGTTTCATCATCCTTGTCCCCTCCTAGGAGAGCATATTACATATTCCCAGAGTAGCACAGTGGTAAGATGTGACACAGAACATGGGAAATTTGGGTTTGATACTTTTTCACCTTTAGGATATTCAGACTTGGAACAGGCTGCCCAGAGAATTTGCCAAAACATCCTTGAAATTTTTAAAAACTTTACTGGACAAGACCTTTTCCAGTTGGCCTGCTTTGAGAAGAGGACGGACCAGAGATTGCAAAACTTTCTTCCAAACTACATTATTCTGTGTTTCTACAAAGTTACATTGAATGTGCTGGGTTTTCAAACCTACACTCAGACTGGAGCTGAGCTGCCAGGACCTGTATAGAGGAAATGGTAAAGCCACCTTCCTAGAGAGAGGAATTCCTGTGGGATATACACACTGACCTCTGAACTGCTTGGACTAGAATTGAACATGTTGCAATTGCAAACAATTGTGGAAATTTTCCCACAGGATTGAAAATGATGATTAAGATGCAAGTTTGGGATGGTCTTGTCTTCAAAGAGACCAGAAATGCCTCCTTATTTGTGATATGCCAATACAAATAATACATCAGAAATCTTAACACATCAGAATCTATGGAACACATACTAGGAGTCACAAATACTAATATTTGAAAGAAATTTAAGGAGCATTGCCTAAACATTGCTTCAGTTCAGCTGAGGTTGTATGACTCATGCCTCTATTTCCAAAAGAATTTTGAGCCATAAACTCTGTGCACCAAGATGGAGATATTTGTGATGGATTATTTTGGGGGGTGCATAGTGGTAGATTGGCTTGGTGGTTCGTTTTGGGGGATATTTTTGTTATTAGTTAGTCTCTGCAGAATTCTTTGTGTTTTGCAGGTGGCTCATCTGGGCATTATGTTTAGACAACACTTTGTTCAGTGCTCTGCAGCTCACCATTGATTCACAGATCTCAGGAGACTGATGAAAGCAATTTAATTCCCATATGATGGTGTTGATACTTTGCCCATTTGGGCATGATAAGAAGACTTTTTTTCACCCTCTAAGTAGTCTCATAAGAGACTTCTGGTAGAGTTTGCAAAGCTGCCTCCTGTATCCTACCTGAATAAATACCAGCCCCCAGGAACTTGTGGCAGTCCTTTGCACCCCTGCAGTGTTGACCTCTCAGCCACAAGTGTGCCAAGTAGATATGGAAGGAAAAAGGAGTACAGAAATTCTCTGTCTTTTAGCTCCATGAAAAGAGTAATTTTGCCCTTAGCTTTGCTTTCTGTCTCACTCTCAGAGAAAATTGTATTGTGGGTATTGATGTGAGGTTTGTGCACAATTACTTCTTTTTTTTAAAAGTGTAATTTTTGTACTTGGAAAAATAGGCAGCTTCAACAGGCAAAGTCTTTTCTTTGCACTTGTATTTAGGCAAGAGGCTGAAAGCTAGAATTTCATCTATACCTCTTCAAAAGCAGGTGACTGACTAAAATTTTGGTAAGTCTATAATATTATCAAATCTAATGTTTCCAAGAGAGCTTGTTCAAGCAGCAGACTAAAAGCATTTTCAGGGCAGTATGATCAGATTTTTAGAGTGGACACATACGTGCATAAACTATCTTTAAGCTACATACTGATGTTCTTTTACTAAGAAATAAATTTAGAAGTTTTCTATTTGCTTACTGTTTTCACACTGAAATAATAAACTGAAGAAGTGTGAGAAAAAGAGTGACTGGACTGGAGGTATATGATACTGATTTTCAAAAATCATTTATTTTTCAATAAAAGCATATAGTACAAAGGAACAAAGATGATGAAATGTATCTATATGTGTTTTAATCTATTCACAGGAAATATTTTGGAGTTGTTTTTGCATTAGTTGTATTCATCAATGTTAATCATCACTGCATTGAATGTACTGAGAAAACTATCTGCCTTGTAGAATTTGCATCTATACTGCAAGATGGAAAACTCTGTGCCTACCTGCCCCAGTAAAATGATCTCAAGACTTTGTTCTTTATCAAATTTGGTTGGAATTTATACATAGTGACAAACAAATTTACCTGAAACAGAAAAAAAAGTGAAAGTGAGTGTTTACTCATTGTCATTTAAAAGACCTGGACCTGGTTGATGGTCGCATTTGGTCATTTTAGAGGTCTTTTCCAGCCTTAATGATTCCATGACATTGTCTCAGTGGGATGAGTGAATTTGTCTGGAACTTGCACCAGCTATTCTGGCTCCTGCAAATTCAGTCTTGCTCCATCATGGTGTTGTAGAAGATGAGGTGCTGGTTTTTGTCCTATTCATCCACTGCTGATCAAAAAAAAGATACCTTTTATGCAAAATATGCAGTCCATTATCAAAACCAATTTGTGATCGCATGCTGGGGCATCCTCTTCCTTTATTCTCAGCAACATACAGAAGAAATGATGATGATTGTATGATACCTTGGAGCACCTCCAGCTGGCTGCTGATGAAAAAAAGTGTAAATGGTGCAATTTTTAAGATCAAAGAGCTGTCTGGAAGAGATGGCAACCGTTAGAAACGTGTAAGTTTAAACTGGTTTAATGAAATCTAAGCACAACAGTAAATAGAAAGAAAGCATCAGGAGTAATGTTATGAGTTAGAAGCTCAGTTGATGAGATAAAAAGATGTAGCAGGAAGTTACAGCTAAGCAGAACTGAAATATGGATGTGGCTGAAGGTGAAGAAGCAGCAATATTTTACACCTTACATATTCAGCTGTTATGCATAGATGGACATTTCTGGTTTAGTATTTTTCCTTCTGCAATATTTTACCCTGTTCTAGACAGAAAGTTCAAGACTGCAAAAGTCTTTATCCATGTTAATTTCCTGAGTTCCCATGCAGGTTTTGTGTTTGATTACATATGTTATGTTTTGCTCTCTTCTACACTTGTTTGTATTAAAATAGCAGAGATACAAACAAGTTATGTAACACTGTTACTCCTCGCAACTGTAAAGACATTTTGCCTTTGCTTCTTACTGTTCTAGCAATGCTGAACCAAACAGAGGTCAGTGAATTCCTCCTTTTGGGTCTCACCAATATCCAGGGGCTGCAGCACTTTTTCTTCACCTCCTTTCTGCTGCTCTACTCGGCCACTCTTCTGGGAAACAGCATCATTGTGATCGTGGTGATATCTGAGCCCCGGCTCCACACACCAATGTACTTCTTCCTGGGGAACCTGTCCTGCCTGGATATGTTCCTCTCCACAGTCACTGTTCCGAAGATGTTGACTGGCTTCCTCTTCGGGCACCAGCCCATCTCTTTTGGGGGGTGCCTGGCCCAGCTGCACTTCTTCCACTTCCTGGGCAGCACAGAGGCAGTGCTCCTGGCCGGGATGGCCTACGACCGATACGTGGCCATTTGCAACCCTCTGCACTATGCCCTGGTCATGAGCCCACGGACTTGTCTGCTGCTGGCTGTGGCCAGCTGGTCCACTGGGTTTGTACATGCTGTGATGCACTCAGTCATGACCTCTCAGCTGAGTTTCTGTGGCCACAACCAAATTCAGCACTTCTTCTGTGACATCAAGCCACTGCTGAATTTGGCTTGCAGTAGGACCAGACTCAACATGACACTCCTCAATGTTGTTACCACATCTGTTGTTTTAGGGCCCTTCACTCTCGTAGTCCCTTCCTACCTCTATATTATCTCCTTCCTCTTCTATAAAGTCCAGTCCCAGGAAGGAAGATGGAAACTCTTCTCCACCTGTGCCTCCCATCTCACTGTTGTAGTACTGTTTTATATTCCAGTGCTCCTCAATTACACACCACCCTCCTCAGGAAACCCCACTCAAATGGATGTGCAAGTGACTCTCATATACAGTGCTGTCACTCCAGCTCTGAACCCCTTAATCTACACACTTAGGAACCAGGAGGTGAAAACTGCCCTGAAAAAAACCTTACGGAGAAAAGTCTTTCCTGGAGGAAAGTGACTGAAACAAGGAGAAGACTCAGAATATGGCTGCTCCACCTCTCATATTTACAAGGAGAAAGGTAAAAAGGACACCACACTGCAAGAGACTGTAAAACTACTGATTATCTCATGCGGTTTGACACTTTAGAAGTTAATTGTGTAGATCTACATCAGGAGAGATATTCCTAGCTTGTAAGCAGCTAAAAGTTAGGTCAGGGAAGTCTTCTTCTAGGGAATATTCAAGGATAATTTCTGTGACTTTACTTGTAGTCAGTTTCTACAGACAATCTTAGTGACAATTACTCCTTAGGAGAGCGTGGAGTCCTTCCTTCTGAGGCACAACCACCTCTGAAGGAACAAGCTGGGAATTTCAGAAATCAGCAATACTACTGTTTGTTGCTTCTCTTTGATACAGCTTTTCTTCAAAGGAAAAGAAAGGGAAGAAACTACACTCAGCCCATTGGATTCTCCTCCCACTTCAGAAAAGTGAAGGAAGATCATAGGCAAGAAAAAATAATCCAGCCCTTCTGGAAATAGCATGAAAATACAATTTTTTGTTTAATTTTACTGCAAGATCACAAAAGTTCCCCTTTGTGGGCTAGGGAATACAGCAGATTAATGACCACAAGTGATTATCTACTCTATCCACCTGCCTCTCTTCATGGTTCTTGACAAGTGAGGTCATTGGCTAGTTTCATTTTGGGCTATGGTTAGTTGCTGTCATTCATCCTGAAGCAAAATGTTTTAGCTTGTTCATATCCTCTTAATGTCTTAAAATTAAAGTTTTATTTTAAATGTATATATTGACCTATTTCTAAATGAAAAGTTGTTGTTTGGAAATTAAAAATACACAATTCTGGTAAAAAAAGCCTTTTTTCCCCTGAATTTTAATCCTTTAATTTGGTTGCCAAGATTGCTTTTCTAAAGATGACTGAACTTGAGTAAATATTCCCCATATTCCCCATGCATCTATTATTATATTTTTCATTTTTTGAAAAAAAGTATAGCCCATGTGTGCACAAGTTGTGTTCTTATTACTTTAGCTATCTCACTATTCACAATACTTTCTTTCTCCACTAATAAAAATTCTTATTTCCCTGCCTGTCTACCTGTCAAATATTTTTTACATCAGCCTGATAATTGTCTTACCAAATATTTGTCTGTTTAATTCTTGGATGAGCACCATCACTGACCCCCACCTTTGCTCTCTCATGTTATGATGCTCATATCTATGCATTGGTTTGAGTGTCTTCTCATCGTGTGCCTGCCTCTGGCAACACAGCTTGCGTTGGTTATGTTGGTTTGTGGTCGTGAAAGAGTTTGAAAGTGTTCATCTTCAAAGTGTTAGAAAATGCTATTTGGGTTTTTTTGAAAATTTTATCTGCATCACAGTTTTTGGTACAGTTTTACCTGAGCATGCAGGTAATTTTATAAGTGCAGCACCTGTGGCAATTGGAGCTGTCACTAGATTTGCAATGCAGTGTTGTTTCTGAGGATGGTGAGAGGGACGATTTTATCATGGACATCTTTGTGACTCCTGAAGGAAACAGCCAAAGACACAGATTCCACAAGTTGCTTGACCACGAAGATAACTTTGCTTGGTTTTGTTTGACAGCGTCAACCTCCATTGGAGAATGATGTTTACTAGGTTCATTTGGAGTATATTAATTGACATCATGTCTTGAATAAGAAACAAGAAATCCTCTGTTGCATCATTAAAAAGTTGAAGTAGAGCAAACCTTTCTCAAAGACTGTTTCTCCTATTAGCCACCTGATGACTGTACCAGAGAATTAGCAGTAAGAAAAAGTTTGTTCCAGTGTACTCGATCTACCAAGCCCTTGGGTAAAAATTACACAGGGTGAAGGATGGTGAACTTTATTGTAGTTTTAATGGGGCCTGTGAGGTTATTAGTGATGGAACAACTGAAGTGGCTCTCCCAAGAGGCAGGAGCAGAAAATCCTAGCATGATTACAGGAAAATAAAGGAAGCAACAAATGCTTTCACCAAGCAGCTCCTTTGATGTGTCCTGTCACAGAAAGGGGCCAAGTGCTGGCCCACACCAAGACCTTTTCAGGCCTCATGTGCCTCAGACTTGTCTCTGGTCAGTGTGGGACTTGCAGAGGAGACATCCAGGCTCCCAGGATGCCTGGGCAGAGGTGTATGAGTCTGGCCCACACATCGCTGCTGTCCCAGCCTTGGTGCCCCCCTGCCCTGTGGTCCCGGGCTCAAGCACTGCTGCTCTGTCCTGAAACACAACCCTCACCTTTCATGGCACCCTCTGGCCCAGCCTGCAGACCCCTGGCAGTCCAGTCTCACAGAGATGGTGCCCAGCTTCTCCACAGAGTCCCTCCTGCCTCAGGCCAGATCCCCACCCCACCAGATCCCCCTGCTTCAGTGGTGCCTCACAGACTGCCCCTGCAACCCGTATCCACTCCCTGCAGACCATTCCCCATGCTCTCCAGAGATGTATGGGAGCTCTTGAGCCATGAAGAACATTTTATCTCTAGTGGTCACATCTTAAAGGTCCCAGTTGTCCCAGCCCTACCTCCAGCTCCGTTCAGTGGGTGCCCAAGCTCCCACTCTCAGTGTCACAACCCTCTTCTCAATCCCAAGGCCTTGAACAATTCCCTGGAATACTGTCCCCTCCAGCATCCCCCAGCTAGCAATACCCATTCAGCTCACCTACTGCCCTCATTGAGCAGCCATCACTTTTCTAAAGTGTCCCCAGTGGGATGTTCCACGGAACCAATTCCATCAAAGGGGAGATCAAGGTATGAGTGAGTGTGCTGAAGAGAGTCTTAACAGCAAAATGCACAGGTACTCGTGAAGTGCAAATTGAAAACCTGCAGTTCTTCTGACACTGTCTACAAACAGATAGAAATGTCTGCCCATGATAGGTTTGGGTCTGGTTTCACAACCCTTAGGGATTTCACAGCTTCTGAGACTGGAACAAGTGAAATTCAGTCTATCTCACAAAAAAAATAAACCCAAAGAAATTGCTTGATATGCCTAATCAGAAAGGAGAAGAGAGTATTTCCAGATAGACTAAGTTATCATCTCCTCATCTGCAGATACTAAAGATATCGTAGATAAATCAGAACGTGAAGATGGTTCAGTGAAGACATCTCAGTCCAGTTTTAAATCTCTGGTGTTTCACGGGTATTTGTCAAGTGCCCAACTCTACAACTATCCTTGGATTATAGCTATTGTTACTGGATTAAGTCCTCATAAAGAGCAACATTGTTGTTTTCAGTTGCTACAGAAGCAGCCAAACACACACACACACAAACAAACAAAAGACCTAGAGTTCACAAAATTTGACCCTGCAAACCCTGGAACTGTATCTTGGGAATTCACAGAGGAGAGCTGTGGTCATCTGCAGGGATTTATCAATCCGTGATCCACCAGAACATGACAGGTATCAGGTACCTGGATACCCTCCAGGAACACCCCTCCCTTGACTCCCAGCTTGCCTTGAGGACTCTGCGCCTAATTAGCGAATGCTTAA